ACTGGATCAGCAGGTAGGCCTCATTCTTATCTAACGTTTGCGCTTTCAGGCTGACAACGGTCTGGAGGTACTGGAAAGTCAGTCTTGCTCCGGACTATCATCAAGAGTATGCGCAAGAAATATTTCAAGAGCTCTGACGCTGTTGCGGTCACAGCATCTACAGGCATCGCTGCGTGCAACATTGGAGGCATTACCTTACATTCTTTTGGGGGCGTGGGTCTCGGCACGGAAACTGCACCCGAGCTTGCTGGTAAAGTCAGAAAGAACCCCAAAGCCAACACCCGTTGGATCAGGACAAAAGTGCTGATCATTGATGAGAGTAAGGAACCAACTTGCTTCTGGACCATTTATCTTACCACTTCTTGACCTATCAAGTCTCTATGCTAGAAGGAGACTTTTTTGACAAATTAGAGCAAGTGGCTCGACTTGTTCGCAAAAGACCTGAACCATTTGGAGGCATCCAGGCAAGTTGTATTTCGGCCATCACTCCTGTTGTACCACTACTTAGCGCCTTAACAGCTAATTCTTACCGGTGATTTCTTTCAACTCCCCCCTGTTACTAAGGGGCAAGTCAAGTTTGCTTTCCACGCGAACACTTGGAAGGAATGTGTAGACCATACATTTAATCTCACAAGAGTCTTTCGTCAGAAAGATCAAGACTTTGTTGAAATGCTAAACGAAATGCGTTTCGGGCGATTGTCGCAAAAATCTATTCAGGCCTTCATGGCGAGATCGAGACCTCTACCCAACGACGGCATCGAGCCTACGGAACTGTAAGTGCATTAGTGCATATATCATTCCAAATGTACTGACTCGTCTGTATTGTAGTTTCCCTCGTCGAGAAGATGTTGATAGGGCAAATAAAGAGCGCTTGGACAGGTTGGAGGGAGAATCTTATACCTATAACGCGCAAGATGGTGGTCTTGCAGATGAAAGATCAAGGAATACCATGCTGAACAACTTTATGGCGCCTAAATCCTTGCTACTTAAAGTGAACGCCCAGGTTTGATCATCAACTTTCTATTCAGGCTCGTATTAATCCAACCTTCAGGTCATGATGATAAAAAATGTCGACGAATACCTTGTAAACGGGACCGTCGGCAAGGTTATTAGATTCATGACTGAGCGAGAATGGACGGATTCACTTCCTGGAGGCAGGGCCACCGACAAC